GCGCCGCGCAGCCTGCAGCGCCGCAACCCATTGTGACTGCATCACACTCCTGAGCGAGCCGGCCCAAAGAGGGTGCGGCTGGGGTCTCCTGACCGGCAGCCCTGGGCCCTAGGCACACCCTCCGCCCGTGCATGCTTCCAACAGAGCCCTTCCCTCGCCCCTCACCTGCGCCGCCGCCGTCATCTTCGCAATCCGCGCCGGCGTGCTGTCGTCCGCCGTCGCCTCGCACCGCACGACAAGAATCCCGTCCGTGCTCACGCTGCCGGCCGGCACCGCCGCGCCGGGCCCGAGGCGCAGCGGCGCAGACTCGCCGCTGATGTGCTGCAGGGACACGTTGGCGGTGCCCCAGGATATGGAGCCGTCCAGGGGTACCGCCTCGCCGGGGCGGACGAGCACGTGCTGCCCCAGCGCTACGCTAGAGGCCGGGACCTGGACAGGGGGGCAGGGCCGCGCCGCCGGGCACGCAAGTTGGCTCTAGGACCGACACAGCGTCCAGCAGTCGCCCGCTCATGGAGCTATCGAGGCTCATGGGATTGGACTTGAAAGCATCAACCTTGTGTAACTGATATTCATTCGCACGGTTCCCAAGCGCCGCACAAAGCAGGCGTGCACAAAAACCTCAATAGCGTCCACTCGCACAATGTGCTTGAGGCGCGCCCTTAGGGCGCGCCCACAAGATGTCGTTCAGACACCCAGCCGCGGCGCGTTTGCAAGCGTCGCAGCGCGCGCGCGCGTTCTCGTGCGCCCCAATGCGCCGGGCGCGCACCTCCGTGGCGCTCGCCGCGCGCGGGGCGCCGCCGTCCTCGTCGACCTCCACCAGCGTCGCGCGGCTGGGCACGCTGTCAAACAGGCGGCCCAGGTTGCCGCTGGCCCTCTCAGTGAGCTTGTCCTCCAGGAGGTGGCTCACGCGGAACAGCAGCAGCAGCAGCGCACCCTGAGGACGGGGGATGGCGCGCGCGAATACGCGGGGGCGCGGCAGGGTCGAACCAAAGCGGGGCGCGCGTCTGCTGACACTGTGCGAGGTAGAAAGAGCACGAGAAGCAGCCGGCACAGGACAAACTCACCATGCATGTAGTCGGTGAAAGTGAAAAGCGCATGGGGCAAGGCATGGCAAGCCGACGTAAATGCGCCCCGCCGCTGTGCCCCCCCTATGCACCCCGCCTCAAAAAACCGTTCCCCGTTGACGTCTCGAGAGCCGCCCCTCACCTCTGCGGCCATGCCCATATAGAGCGTCCCCACAACTGACAGTGACATCAGCACGTGCGTGTCCACGCGGCTGCGCACGATGGCCACCAGCGTCTCCGCCAGCTGCGGCACCCCCGAGAGGAAGTACGTGCCCGCCAGCAGCAGCTGCGAGAGGACCGCGGTCGCGCGCGCGGCAGCAGCGCCCGCGGGCGGCGCGGCGGCGTGCAGCGCGAACTGCAGCGCGAGCGCGGCGGCGTAGCAGGCGGCGGAGGCGACCGCGTAGCGCGTGCCGTGCTCGAGCTCCTCCGAGAGGCTGAAGAACCCGGTGCGGCCGACGGCGCGCAGGAGCGCGCTGGGCTCGGACGCGGCGTCAAAGTGCTCATGGTGGTGCGAGTGGCCGTGGGAGTGGCCGTGGGAGTGGCCATGGGAGTGGCCGTGGCCGCAGCAGGCGCCGCCGGCGCCGTGGCTGTGCTCATGACTGTGATCATGATCGTGGTCATGATCGTGATCATGGTCGTGATGCGCGTGGTCGTGGTGGTCATGGTGGTGGGCTGCAGCGCTGCCTGCGTGATGCTTGTCGCCGGGGTCATGGCTGTGCTGGTCAAAGGCCCCGCCGTCCTGCGGCCACGCGCCCGCCGATGCGCTCACGACCACCCCTCGGCGACCCGGGCCGTGCGGGGCACTGCTGCCGAAGCAGCATTGGTGGTGCGCACTGCAATCTGCGCTGAAAGCGCTGCCGCAACGAGGGCCCTCGCAGCCGCCTCCGCCCGTGCGGCGGCGGCGCGGCCGCTGCGGCGTCGCAGGTGCCGCCAGCGGAGCTTGTGCGCGCGACGATCTAAGCGGTGCCGGCGCTGCGGGGCCAGCAAACCTGGCGCGGCTGCTTGTCAGGTTACGTGTCAGTGTCCCGCGATCCACGCCAGCGCTGAGCATGCGGGCTGGGACTGAGAGGAGGGCACGAGCACCTAAAACAAGCCCTCCAGCACGCGGCAAGCGGGTGAGGCCGCGTCCGCTGACACGGATCTGTCGCGCGCCTGCGTTCCTAGCACAGCCTAGCCTGCTGGATGGCGATAGAGCGTGGGTGCACGACATGGTGGCGGACGATGTGGGCCAACAGGATTTCCATCGTGGGTGTATGCTTCGCGCGTTACTGCATAGGCTACTGTCACGTATACTGAGCCGTGCGTGACGTTGCCATCAGGAAAATGAGGGACCGAGGCAGGACTCACCCCAGCTGTGAGTGGAACGAGCGCCCGAAACTGCTTGACGGCGTTGATCCTGTTTCAATGCGATGATTCGGTGGCTACAAAGTACGCAGGATTGCCGCCAGCGCTGGTGGGGATGCAGCAAGGCTGACCCCAAGGTGGCCGGGATGGGGGATCACGCACCCTGGTCACCGCCACCCACCAACGGCACAAAGGCTTACCCCCTCCGTTGCAACCCCCCCCCCCCCCCCCACAGAATTTACCATCCCCATCATTTCCATGATCTAAGTCACCCTCTTCATCATTCGATGTCGCTCACATTGGGACGTGGGTGCATTGACTTGGCCGCGGGAGTGGACCAGGAGGCTTGACGCACGAAGGAAGCTACCACCGGCCAATCTCACCCCCAACACAGCTGGCACCCAGCTAGATGTCCCATGTGAACAGGCTGCGGAGCTTGCCAAGCACTGAACCACAAAGCCGCTGCTTGGAGGCCGCACACCTGAGTGCCGGCAGCCGTCTGAGTCTGTTTGGGTATTTGCCGACATGATGGCGCAAGCACGATGATGCTCCTCTTGACGTGCGCTACGCACACAACGCATGTCCTCGCAAACAAATTTGTCAGGTGATTTATCAGAGACAATGGGTATGATGAGACACGGTTGCGTGCGCCCAACCCGCGCAGCAGACAACGCAATTTGCGCAACACATACGGAGGTTGCAAGAAGTCCTCTCCCGCACAACCGCTCAGTTCTTGAGACTCAGCAGGAGACACAACAGCGATGCGGTCGGTCATCAAGACGGGCCCATTTCAGCAAGATGAGTCTCACTGTCTGCAGAGTTGGTCACACCAGTGGTTCCATCCAAACATGATGCATGTCGTGGGACTTGGGCGTTGAATCTGTGGCTGCCTCGGCAGGCAGGGCGCAGGATGGCAGGCTTTGCAGTCACGATTGGGGGGTAAACTCCCTAGGGAGCAACTTGGCCTCAGGTGATGTGCCTGAATGGGACATTCTTGTTGGCCATTTGCAATGAGTCACACGGACAATGGTGTTGTGCGTGTGTGTGCTTCCCAATGTGGTCCTCTAGGCGGCATATTTCTTGTGCTGCGGCACAGAATCCTGCCCTTGCTGACCTGTCCGTGCCAACCAGGCAGGCCTGGTTGGCGCGCGCACGCAGCCGCCAACGCTCACAAGGTCTGCGCAGCCTTGTTGCTTGACTTTGATCCGCGCCTGTTGACGCATCAATTTGATACACACCATCCATTGCCAAGAGATTGCAGCGTCCCTCACCTTGCATACCGTACAGTGCTTGACCCGGGCGTTTGCTTCCCGCCTGCCCGCCTCGATAGAACCGCTGGTTCACTCGGTGTAAGTGTTTTTGATATTATCATTATTCATTTGGTCCACGGGTCACCAGCCTCGACCGTGGTGGGACACGGCGCGCACAACAACGCCAGGTGTCTCGTGTGGCGAGCCTTTCAGCATAGGCTGTCCACCCATAATGTGGCAAAAGATCAAGATCTCAAGCTGTACGGCCACGTCGCTGCTGCTGCTGGCGCTTCTTGGTGCGGCGGACTGCGCGCCCCGCTGCTCACGCTCTGCGGACTGCTGCCGCAGCCGCAGTCTCCCCAATGCGGTCGCCCACTGCTCGCTGCCTGCGGCCCGACACACCCGTTGACAGTTGGAACTGTCCTGCCGGTCAGTCAGGCACTGCCAGCCGGGGAATTAAATGTCACCAGCGCCAGCAGCGCACTGGACGGCGTGCTCTTGTTCCCCCAGGTGAGCGGCCGCCTCCTGCCGGCGCGCCGGCCCAACGGCCCAGGCAACCCTGCAGTTTGGGCAACGCTAGGCTTTCTGAGGCGAGGGCGGTCCAGCAACACAAGGGGTGGTAGGGCGGTCGCCTGCGCCAATGGCGGCAATGGCAGCAGCAAGTCGCCCGCCAAACTGCGGCCTCCTCCCCTTCCCCCCACCCCCCCCCTTCCACACACACACACAACCACACACACACTAACACACACAATTGCACTTCAAACAACCGCAGCTATCCGTCATCACCAAAGTAATCCGGATGGACCCTGACATGCGGTCATACCTGGGGAAGCCCGGTCGCCCGATGACCGGCTTCACACCCGTTGACAACGTGAGCACCGCCTTACCTGGGAAGCCCACCCAGGCAGCCCACCCAGGGCCAGGGCAACCCACAACTAGGCCCCCGCGCCCCGATCCCCGCGCCGCACCGCGCTGCGCGTCGCCCGGCCCTGCCCCCGCGCGCGATATCATACCACACAAGCAGCCCCTCACCCCCTGTTTGCGCGTGCAGGCCACCAAGGGGCTCCTGCACTCCATCAGCCGCTACGCCGGCGTGGCCCTCCAGAACGCAACATTCATCAAGGTGCGCCGCGCTCTCCCCTGCCGCCCCACCCCACCTATCCCGCGCCGCCGCTTCCAATTGCCATGGGGACCCGCCCACTGAACGGCCCCTGCGCGCGGGACCCGCCGCACTTTGCAAGAGACTCAGCATCGCGCAACGTGGCCCGTCGCCCCGCCGGCCTGTCCCCAGGCGGTTTTTGACTACATGACTGTGCCGGGGAAGGCCTGGACCGCCACAGAGTTGCACGAGGCGGCGCCGCTGGAGCTGGCGACGCTGCTGTGAGGAGCCTGGGGGGCGGGAGGGGGGTCGTCGGGACGGGTGCAATTTGTGTATGCGGTGGCGGGGTTGGGGGGTACAGGTTAGGGTGAGCGAGGGGCTAGAAAGGACGATTGGAGTGTGGTTTGGGCTGCCGCCAGCATTCTTCTGTTATTCCGGCCCTGCCCCCCTGGCGACGTGCACCGCCCTTTCACCCCCCATCTAACCCCCCCCCCAAACACACACACACACACACACGAACAGCGACGGCGAGGTGCTGCGCGTGGAGCGTGACCCCGCGGCGCCTTTTGGTATTCTGGTCAACGGGTTCCCCATCAGCATGGCCAACCAGGCCACAAAGGACAGGAAGGCGGTGCTGCACATGCTGGACGGCGTCCTCATACCACCCAGCCAGCAGTCGCTGGTCGACTTCTGGCGCCAGCGCGCCCCCAGCGGCGCCGCAGGGGTCGACGCCGATGCGGGCGAGCGCCGCGCGGAGGCGTTGGGCGCCGCGGCGCCCCCGCAGGGCGGCGGCGGCCGCGGCGGCGAGGGCGCGCCTGGGGGC